CATATCCTTGTAAAAATGAGTTACATATAGTCATTTGTCCTTGCAAGATAGTATATGAGCTGAAATTCCTTTTTACATACAAGCATATATTTTAAAATTATTCTTGTGAGATGTCACATACATCGAAGTTATTTCTTGCAAGGATATATATACTTTGAAATTGCTTCAATGGTTTGATTTGATTCATATTTTCACATATTCGTTTACATGTTAATTCATACCAGTTTTTATATTCACATACATGATATTCTGACACTTTCTTCTCTCTTCGCCTTTTCACGAGGTACTGATGGAGTTGATAGAAGATAGAGCCAAGGAGCTTCAGTCGCCCCGTTTCCTCCAAACGGGGTGCTACGGCCAGAGTCACCGTTGACTAGCTCCGGTGACCAGGTAAGTTTTCTTAAAAGAGCATAAGGTTTCTATATTCATCTGTTGAGTTATTTCTCCCGCTTTAAATTCTGGCAATAATTCCTGTATTTAGTCACTATATGCTTTCTTTTTTTACAAATTCAAAACCCATCAACATAGCTTGTCTACATTTGTATGTATGTCCAAAGGGTTAGTGACACTGATTCAAACCCATGGAACCTAGTGACATCTTTAAGGACAATAACTAAGGATGAGTCTTAGAAAACTTAAACAAACTCTAGGATTCACACATGCATCCTTTAGGGATGAAAATTAAACATAGATACGTAGCGACATACACCTTAGGATTAATATACATAATCGATTTGATCTCAAACAACAATCAATTATTAATTTCTTTTTCTTTAGAATTTGAAAACTTAAATATTTGATAATAACTCAAATAAAATTTATAAAAATATCAAAGCTTTCCCAATCAACACATATAATGATTAAGTAAATCAAATTTAAACCCAATTGACTTCAATTTCAAACCCCTTAAGTTTAAACCTTAATCAAACCTTAAAACCTTCTAGAAATTTCAATAAATCACTTTTAAATCTAAAACTATAAATAGCCCTAATTGATCAGATTTGAATCCTTAACACATTAAAAGTTAAAATTAACTAGATTTTTACTTCAAGTTTAAGAATATTCTAATAATCATTAGAATCTGATATTTAATTAATGTAATTAATTTATAATAATTTAAAATTTCAGAGAATTCCTAAACACTTGGAATCTATCCTTGGGTCATTCATGACCTTCGAATTGATTACAAGGAGTTTGGAACTCAATTGAATTCAAAACATCAAAACCTCTCTAATTAGGATAATTAAATAATTCCAATGAGTGATCAAAATTTTGAAGATTCATGATTAATTCAAATAAACTCTAAATCAGTCAAACTTAAAGGCATTCAACTCGTCTTAAGGGCTAATATTTTAATAAAACACTTTTTTTTTAGAAAACATTCTTAATCTAAGATTCAAAATTTAACCCTTTGATTAAAAAACATTAGATGATTCGAATAATTTTAGAACATTAAATATTTGATTCAAATCCAGAAAATTTCAACCTAACTTTAAAAGACAATTTGATTTTAGAATTCAATTTTAAGTCACAAAGAAAACTAATATTTTTAAAATATGTTTTCAAAATTCCACCAACAATCTCCTTCTGTATAAATTGGAGTCTTTTTTGATATAAGCTAAAGCTTTGTATGCACAAAAACTAAATCTTCAACCCATTGTGGAGTAATTTTGTTCATCTTCATTAATTGGATGGAGTATGTGCTCAAATTTCTCTCACAATAAGAGAATGATGAAACCTGACCAAGAAGTTTTATGACGATTGTTTGAAATAGAGGTGTTGAAGCTCCATAAATCAACCACCACCTTTTTTGATCAATTCTCCACCTATCATGCAAAGACTCTTGGTCACCAAAGTCTTCTAAATAACAAAAAAATTTAGCAAGCTCTATATTAACCATTCTTCTCTCCTCGTTTAAAAAATAACGCTTCAAACATGTCAAACTCATATTTAAAATTTCTAAATCTTTATGTGGAGAAACTCGTTAAGGATCCTCTTGAAATCATTCTTTACTTGAACATCTTCAAATAATAATAAAATAAAGTAGAATATATAATTATTATTAAAAATTTTGAGAATTAATAATAAAAAAAATATTAAAATTTACCTTGGATTTGGTGAGTGAGCTAAGTAATATAGAAGTGTGTTACTTTTGCTCAACATATCTTCAAGAATAGTATAGATAATACCTCAAACTTGAGTATTCATCAAGTGTCTTTCTCTCAAGTCTATATATTATTTCTTTCATCTAGGCTAACCTAGAATCTCACATCTCATAAATGAGATGTAAAAAAGACTTATGTGTATCTGTCACTATTAACATCTCATAAATTGGATCAATGAAATTTGAGATTTACTCAATATAATCTTATCATAAATCATCTAAAATCTTCTCTTTTATATACCTTGCATTTCCAATATCATCTTCTCGATAATAATATCATTTCTTACCGATCATCATAAAGATGTTGGTTGGTTTTTTTTTTGGCTGGTTTGTGTTGGTTGAATTTTTGTTGGCTGGTTTTTTGTGGGTTTATGTTTTTTGGTGTTGTTCTGGGTTGGTGTCTTGGTTGGGATTTTGTTGTGTTTCCTAATTGGTCGGTTCTGTGGGTTTTTTGTTGGTTTGTGTGGTTAGGGGTTCAGTTGTTGGCTAGTTTTTGTTTTGGTTTGGGTTCTAGTGATGGTCTTGGACATATTGTTGCATGAATTGATGTTGGATATGTGGAGTTATTGTGTTCGAGGTGGATCATATTGAATTGATATCAAAGGACTTTTTTTATTATTGCTGATGAGCTGTTGGAGCTTGGCTTATGGTGGATTGTTCAAGGAGAAGGCTTTTGGATTATTTTGGTTTAAAGTTTGTTGCTTCTTCAGTTCTATGCCTATTTGGTTTATTATGTAGTGCTGTTGCAATATTTGCTATAGGATTTTTGTATTTTCTTTTATTGTTATGGTTGGTTGTTATGTATTTTGGAGAGTTGTATTGTGTTTTAGGTTTTCTTGTTTGGGACCTTTTTTTTCTTTGTAGACTTGTTGTAGCTCTTTTTGTGCATTAGGTTTTACTAGTCCCTTTATTGTGTTCCTTTAGTTTGTACTTATTTTTTTTATCACTTATCCCCTTCTATGGGTTTTTATTTTTTTTTTAATCTTAAACCCTAAACCCTAAACTTTAAACCCGAAACCCTAAACCCCCTAAACCCTAAACCCTAAACCCCCTAAACCCCCTAAACCCTAAACCCTAATTATCTTTGCTTAATACATATTTGATTTAGTGTTCAAATAAATCTCAACTGTTTTATAAACTTTTTGAATAATATTTAAATACCCTATTCGAACATATTTAGGCACTTAATTGATTCTATATGCAATCCTTTCAACGTTAATGTCAAATTAACTTCAATAAAATCATTAAACATTTGTTTATTCAAGTCTTAAAAGTAAAAAAAAAAAAGTCTTCGAAGAAGTTTAAGTTCTCTTATAAATTTTTTAAATGATGTATTTTAAGTATCTTATTAGAACATATTGAACGCTTAACTAAACCATATTTAACTCTTTTATCAATCAACATCAATTTTTTTTTAATAAAAGAGTTGAATATAAATTATATTAAGTTTTTTAAAAAGTTTAGTTTTTTTTATTTTATTTCAAGAATAACATATTAATCATGTTTTAAATTTGTTTCATGGCTATTTAACACTTATTCAAATTAATATTAGATTGTAATTATAAGTGATGTTATTTTAGTTTTTATAATTTTTTTAACAATTAAATTAGCTGAAATAGTTCTCCAGTTTAAAATATTACCAGATATATAAACTTTTACTATATATATATATAATTTTGCATATTATATTTTTTCCAGTCATAATTCATCCCTCTGAGCTATCATCTCTCCACAAGCTTTGAAAAGAAGATTTCCTTCGTTCCCAACGATGGTCGGGTGGTGAGTTAAAAGAAAAGTGTGCATTTATGTGTCTGTGAGAGGAGTACACATCTTGAAGTAGAGGGATGGCGGAACTCTCAGAGACGTACGCTTGCGTTCCATCGACTGAGCGTGGCCGGGGAATCCTGATCTCTGGCGATCCGAAGTCCGACTCTATCATTTACTGCAATGGTCGGGCGGTGATTATTCGGCGCCTTGGGGCTCCGATGGATGTGTCAATCTATGGCGAGCACGCGCACCAGACGACGGTGGCGCGCTTCTCCCCTAACGGCGAGTGGATTGCCTCTGCCGACGTCACTGGTATGATTCGAATTTGGGGCAGCCACGGTGACCGCGCGCTGAAGTGCGAGTTTCGCGTCCTCTCTGGCCGCATCGACGATCTCCAGTGGTCTCCTGACGGCCAGCGCATTGTTGCCTCAGGCGACGGAAAGGGAAAATCCTTTGTTCGTGCATTTATGTGAGATCCTATTCATTTATTCGGTTGCTTTGGCTTTATTTCATCGGATTCCGATAAATTGAAGACCATATAAAAAACAATTTTTTTGCATGGCTGTTATCTAATTCTCCAATTTTGAAATTTAGAAAGGCCTAAATTGATGTGTTGTGCAAGCTAAACGAAAATTATCGTGATCTGGTAGATAGATTTGTTAGATGGGTGATTGATCTAAAAAGGAAAGATAGTCTGCCTTGTTTCTTGATGTTTGAGAAAGAGTTTTGTTGAAAATCAATAGTTTCGTGAATTTGGTTAAGTGATATGTTTAAAAAGAAAGAAACTTATTGAAATTGAAGTTCCACGTATTTTGTTAATAAGTAATGACACGCTGCTAGCGAAGATCTAGACCTTCTCCAGACTTTAAAGCTCCGGGAATTGCTGTGAAATCTCCTAAATACGTTTAATTTAATTATATACTTGATGAATTTAGTCAAATCCAATTCCAAATTTCATGCCTATCTAGAATGGAAGAAGAAGAAGAAGAAGATTGAAGCTATGTCTTCATTAGAAACTACTAATTCACATCGGACGTGTCTTATTCTTAGGCTAAACTGGTATATCTCTTGAACCCAGGCTAATTTGAGTGTCTGACAACAATTGCTGCTAGTGACCACTTTAGAGATGTGATCTATTTAAGCATTTATATTTGCGTATTGGTGATGCAGGTTATTTCATAAGTGAATTGATGGGAAAAAATCCAACATGGTATGATGCATCTCATTCAAGCCCAATATAAATGAATGCCTATGTTGTCTATTGTTCTTTTCTAGAGAGGAGCATTTATTGACCATAACTTGCTAAATTATGGAATGTGCAAGGCACTTTAATCTAGAGTATTTCCGAACTCTATAAATGAATTTTGAACGAATGAAAACATTGGTGATATCAAAGGTTACTAAAATGTTTGTAAATGACGAACCATATGGGCACCATCATAATCTCTTAAGAGCAAGGAGGAAGAAGTTTTCATAGTTGAGCTTGGTTGACTTGGTTTGATCTAGGATGTGCCTATTCACTTTAGTTGAACCCACTTATGGCCCTCTGTAACTTGAATCAATTGGTTCAAGTGTCCATAGACACTTATTATTATTATTATTATTATTTATTTATTTATTTATTTTTTTTTTTGACCTTAAGAAGAGGCCAAATATATGACCAAAATCATGAAGATTTTAACCACAAATGTGGTGTAAATGGCAGAGCTTGCCAACTGTAGAGGTGATTAAAAAGCTAACGTCAAGGGCTTATAAAAATAATAAAGTGAAGGTGGAACACTTCTATCAAAATATCTGAGTAGCCAAAGCATTATAAACTTTAGAAGTAGATGCTCTTGATGAAAAATTAGGGCTCAAAAAGATTCCACACTGAAGTCCTTATGCTTTGAGTTGGATTAGAAAGGACACTTATTTTTTGGTAGTTAAACATTGATAAAGTTACTTGTGTGTTTTGCCTTAAGACGCATGACTTTTACTATCAGGCAACCTTTTTTGTAGGATATCTATGCTATGTACTTCAAGAAAGAACAAGAAATATATATTTGTAAAATAGGGAAGAAATTCTTTTTGTTTGTATGTTTATTTTGCCATTAAATGATCTTGGGGAAGCCAAAAAATGTCAACACATGCAAAAGTTACATAATGAACATCTTGTATAACAATTTACCATAATACCTTATATTGTATCATCTAAATAGAGGTTGAAAAAGACCACACAAAGTGCCAAGAAAAGTCACTTCCAATAATAAGATCAGAAGAAGCAATCTCCTTGACAACCTTTGTAGGGTTAGAAGAAGTATAATTGTAGATCTAGGCAAGCAAAGTCAATTAAAGTGACACATCAATAGTAGAGAACTCACCTCTACAAATCAATTTGTACTAATTAATAAATTTATATTTTGAACTAATTGTATTGTCTAATCAACGTGATTAGTTCAATCTAATCAATAGAAGTACTTTTTCTTATTAATATTAATTTAACAATGTAACTAATCTTATTGTACGATCAACCAGTGATGTGTTTTTTTTATAAAAAAGAGTGTTTTCTTACTTTAAGCACTTGATATATAATCTAATATTAAACTCTAAATATGAGAGGGATGTCTTTTTGTTGGAAACTCAATGAGGTAGCACTTTAACCCAAAGAGAGAGTTTTTACTGAGAGATAGAGAGAGAGCACACATTGTTTATTACCTCATGGTTGAAGATTTAGTTGTTATGAGAGCTACTTGTAAGAGAGATCTTAGATCTCAAAAGCTTTTGTGAAGACTTTGTGTGACTAACCGATGAGTTAGAAAAGTATTCTTCTCATTTGGTGTAGAAGAAGGGATAGGTTTCTCCATTACCCATTAAGTAAAGAGATTTTCTACCTTGTAGTAGCAAAATGAGTGTATGAAAATCTCTAGAGGAGGACTCGAGGAGTGGATGTATGTCATGTTATGATGAACAATAATACATTGGTTTATTCTATGAATTTTTACTATTGTTCCACTTTTTATATGTTTAGAATGCTTTGTGATGATGGGAAACATCTTGTGATCTAATTGTTTCTTGTGATACAAAATCAAAAATAGGTGTTTGAAAGTATTTTTCTATTCATGAAATTAGTTGGAAGAAAGTATGGCTTGATCAAAAGAAAAATATGTTACTTTTGCAACTTGTTAGAGTACATTGCTTTCAAAATCAGATTTTATTTGAAAAAGAAAAGAAAAAAATTATGCACAAAAAATAATTTAAAAAGTGCACCAATTTACACCCCTCTTGGTTGTGTCATACCTTTCATCTTCTTGTTCAAGAAGCTATTTGGAAAAGCCTTTGGATAATTATTGCAATGCTCTAATGTGGTTCCATTGAGCTTTCCTTAAAGTTTTATCTTGATCAATTAGTTTCTTGTGACTTTTATCATCACCAATTTACTAACTGTCACTTTTAATATTGTGCTAGGATCTTCATGCTTAGATCTTTGACTTCAAGGAGATAAAAAGAATTACCAAGAAATAAAAGATTTAGAAGAAACCTGAAGGAGTTTAGATCCAAGGAAGAGAAAACTAGAAGTTCTTCATCGTGCTTTGCTAATTTTTCTGAGTAAAAGAAACCTTGGTTTCATGAATTAAAATAATTAGCATCAAGTTGTTAGTAGAGAATCAAGAAGTGCGTTGGTGCGTGTTATTGATTGAAAGTGGCTACCCAAAAATGAAAGTTCTTTTTTCAAGTTTGCTATGACATTGACACCATTGAAGAAGGAAGGTAACCATGTTAAGTTGCTATGTTATGCAATAAGCAATATATGCATCCTGCAACTTCTACTAAAAATGTTCCAGACTCACCCTTGATAATGACAATTCTAATCAAATATGTCATTCTAAACTATATTGGCATGTGCCTTGAAGATCCAACCCTTGCCTACACTTCTCCACCTCTTGCTCCTCCTCTCACCCTCAACTAACAAAGGATATACCATTGAAAGTGCTAATGCATTCAGATTGTAAGACAGACCATGCTAATTAAGATGTGAACATCATTCTATCATATTATACTATGAAGAAAAACAACCCTTCCAAGGTAGAAACAAAGTGGAGATACCAAGCTTCAATGGTACTATTGACGTCAAGTAACTCAATAGACCAACTGAAGCCTTACAATACATATGTGGATATGGTTTTCTCAACAAGGTTACATTCTCTTGCTTGAAGCTTGCTCGTTATGCCTTCTCCAAATGGTATGTCTACTGACAAATTGAGTAAACAAAGAAACTTCTTAGAGTACAGAAAACTGCTATAGTTGGACTTCCTTCCAGAAGTAGTAGCAATGATCATTGGAGGAAGTGACATAGTCTTTGACAAATCTCAAATTATGTAGGGGTATATATGATGTTTTTGGTGATGGATGGTGTCCTTGGAATTCCGATCGATGGGGCCTAGTGCAGGCATTTGAGCTTAATCCCCATATTTATGATGAACTTTGTCTTTTCTAGTTTAGACAACATTCTATCAACATCATCAAGAAGTACTAACCTGGAACTAGAAGGCTCAACAAGGGTCCAAGGAAGATCCTGGAGTGTTAAGAATGAAAGTAAAAAGGAATACACATCTCCTTTCATTATGTTGAATGTTATGGAGATTTTATGATAAATGTACATTTAGGAAGCTTCTCGTAGAGTTATTCCCTCAGAAGTTGGGAAATGATGAGAGGAGCAAAGTTATGGTGATTTATTGTGAAGAATATTCTTCTAATTCCAATAGAAAGATCAAATGCATTCACTCTGTTGGTAATTCTAAATTATTGGTGGGTCTGTCAGTTAGACCCAATGCATAGAAAGAGTTTTTCATTGTCCATAACATGTCAAGAAAGTGTTGTTTGGTGCCACTGTGATATTGGTTGTGTAAGAACTTTTCTACAAGTATAGTTGAGAACTTAGGCCTTAAGGTGTTGCATCATCTACGCTTGCATTCTTTATGGTAGATCATAATGAACATGGAATGAATGATTCATCAATAACGTATATTCTACTTTGCTATAAAAGAGTATATTGAAAAGATGGCTGACACCTCTTAATGTTTGTCAATTGATCCTTGGAGTTGTATTATCTGCTGGAAGGAGAAGCCATCTATTAGTACCATTCATTATTGTATTATCTTATGTATAATGAGGAGTGCATGTCAACAGAGCAAAATTTGCTATTATATAGCAGCTTCTAGACAGAAAACTGTCTTCTTAGTGACTGTGAGCATCTTGATGTTAAACCCTTTTGGTTAAATCTAATGGAAATACATTTTTTAATATCTTTACTAAGAATATGGACAATAACTTGGGATACTTAGAGAGATAAACAATCAAGAAAAATAGTCTAATTATACAAATTTTGCAGGATAAGAAGTGTGTTTTAATAATAACTACTTGAGTAAAGGATAGTTGGGAAAGGCTGACTCATTTATCAATTTCCAAAAAAAAATGATGGAAAAATTAAAGTAATCACCTCAGCCCCCCTGCTCCTCCCCTCCCCTTGAGAAGAAAGCGATGGGGGACTAGCAAGGACTATCCTTGTTGTTTATTGGTACAGTCAGTAAGTCATATGAATCATCCAATGAGAATTACATTCTCAATAACAAGTCAAAACCAACCTCCAATATTTTCTTTTCATAATAACAACAATTATGAAATTTGTACCTATGTTGTTTAATTGGGTTATTTGGCTGCATGCATATTTTGAATGTAAAGTAAACTAAATGCTATATATATATAGTCTATTTATACAAATTTTGCAGGATAAGAAGTGTGTTTTAATAAGAACTACTCGAGTAAAGGATAGTTGTGAAAGGCTGACTCATTTATCAATTGCCATGTGCTGGGTGTCTTGATTGACTAGATTTAAACTGTCTGCAGGAAAATCATTTTATATGTTTGGCTGAAAGTAAGAGAGAAATAGTATACTCCATGAGATAAAATTGTTTAATAATTTTTATTTGAAATGTCAAATAATATCATGGACAGTGTTTACAAAGCTTGGTCGGCAACAAGAGGAATTATCTAGATTATTTTGTCAGGTTATTATCTTATTTAGGATAAAGATTTCTAATTTAGTGCAACTGGGTTAGATTTAGTTTTGAATTCTATTTAGATAGGAATTGGCTTCTATGCTATTTCAAATAGGAGATCCTAGGATGTTATTTTAAATCTTTGAAGTAAATATAGTTAGTCCTCCCAAATTCCCCTCCCCCCCCCCCCCCCCTCCCTCTCTCTCCTCTAAAATTTGGTCAAAAGGGAAATTTTCTCTCAATTCTTTTTACTGGAAATTTATATGATCCATTCTCAGCATTTGGGTCAATGAAGTAAGAATAACCATTGGGGTTAATCTCACAGGCCCTTTCTACTCGAGCCGGTGGAGGAAGTGGAACGGGTTGCATGAGTGAAAAACCTAATTAGGGTTTAGATTGGCTTTATCGCAGGGTAATCCATTTTCTCCATCAACTTTAATTTTATATTGTTAGGGCCTTGCATGTTTCTTTATTGATTTCATAGAAATCTTAATTCAAAAAATCTTATATATGGCTTACTATGGGTTCCAAAAGTTTTCTGCACTTTAATTCCCCATCAAAAGTCATCATTAGAATTATTACATGACCTTTCGGCTGCATTAATAATACTTTTAAGTTTTAACCAATTAAAGTACTCTTCTATGATCTAAATTGGCTTTAAGAAATTAGGCAATTGTAGTTAATCTTGACGTTAAATTAACACACATGGTGATGTCTTATATTTGAAAATTCATTTAGTTTACTATTCTACGAAATTTATCCACATTCAAATTATAAGTCTTAAATGAAAAAAGATACTAACACATGCAAATGAAAATTGATGCTTTGGCATGCCTTTCTGCATTTAGTCTAATAATGGATGGTATGTTATGGACTCGGTTCTTCTTTTTTTTTAAGATTTATCATATTCCTGTATTCCTGCCATTTGTTTAATTATATAGTTAATTTCTAATAAACCGTGCAGGTGGGATTCAGGCACTAATATCGGGGAATTTGATGGCCATTCAAAGAGGGTATTAAGTTGTGATTTTAAGCCAACTAGACCATTTCGTATTGTCACATGTGGAGAGGATTTTATCTTGAACTTCTATGAAGGTCCTCCATTTAAATTTAAACATTCCCACAGGTTTGCTCCAATAATGCTAATTTGCTTTCTCGTTCATCTTTTTAACCCGTTAAACTCTTCTTAACATTTCTTTCTAGAACCATTGCTATTCTCATATTGTTATCCTCTGCTTGTAGTTATTTAAAGAAAATTTGATTATTTAATGAAGTTATCTGCTTCATTTGCTATTTTAATGAACTTTTACTCCCATATAATTGCAGGGATCACTCTAACTTCATTAATTGTGTCCGGTTCTCGCCAGATGGGAGTAAGTTCATTTCTGTAAGTTCTGATAAGAAGGGCATAATATTTGATGGAAAGTCTGGAGGTAAGATTGGTGAGCTGTCTGCACAAGAGGGTCACAAGGGAAGCATATATGCAGTTAGCTGGAGTCCAAATAGTAAAAATGTAAATCTTTTAATTCTTGCATTTCCTTGCATGGTATAAGTTGAAGTTTAGTTTCTTTTACTATAACAGTTTGGGGTAGTCTATTTAGACTATTGAATGGGTTTTTCTCCCATTTTCAGGTGTGTCGTTTTCAGCAAGATTCTTACAATGAACTTACCATAAGACTCAAATCTAATACAAATGAAAACCTGATAGGATGCTACTGAGATTTAGAAGGCCCTGCCATAAAATTGTTTTAAAGCTTAATTTGATGACAAAAGCTCAAAATATGCGTGTTTGTATACTAATGCTGATTTTTGTGACATTCTCTTTAATAATTTGAATTATGGGCATTGATTTATAAGTATAGAACACAAATATTTTGTTTAGGATCAAGTGATGGCCAAGTCAATACATTCAAAGCTTGTGAAAGGTCCCTAGGGAAAAAGCATTCATACTTTATCATTTGAGTGAATCATGATACGTTATCACATTTCCCTTTGAATTCCATATGACCTAAGAATCTTTTGAGTAAAAACAATTGGGATATTTGTCTTCTGCAAAGCGCCAAAAGCATATAATTAGTGGTCTAAGTTGGATTGTGATTGATCAAGTTATTGTGAGATTCAAGTGGTATTAGCCCTTATAATCTAATTGAGATGCCAATGGTTTGAATCTCTTCTAAAAAAATGATTATCATATGAAATAAGTATTTGTGGTTGTGGGCAATTCTGGCAACAACGACAACATTAAGCTTTTATCCCACTACGTGGGGTTGGTTATATGATTCATTTTTCTCTATTATGTTATGTTAAGAGTTAATTTTTCATTTAATCTAATAAAAAATTTTATTTCTAATATTTTCTAACCAAATCTTTTTAGGTCAAATCTAATACATCTACTCTCCTAACTCCTAACGTGGTCATTGGAAGGTCGGTGTTTTATGTGAACAAGCCATCTAAGGCAACTATCTCTAATCTTATCTTTCACCGGAGCTACTCCAACCTTTTCACATATATACTCGTTTTGCATTCTGTCTCTAAGAGTGAAGTCACTCATCCACCTGAGTATCCTCATCTTTGAAACACTTACCTTAATTTTATGCTTGTCTTTTAATGGCCATCAGTCTTCGTCATAAAATATTGTAGGTTTCATCACTATCTTATAGAATTTTCTCTTAAGTTTGAGGGATACTTTTCTATCACACAACAAACCCGATGCATTCCTCCACTTCAACCATCCAACTTGAATTCTACTAATAATATCCTCATCTATTTCACCATCACTTTAAACAATAGATCCAAGATATCTAAAACGTATACTCTTATTAATGACTTGATTGCTCAAAGTCACAGTCCCCTCACTAGATTTATTATTACTAAAATTACACTCCATTTATTTTGTTTACATCTACTCAAACGAAAATCTTTAGACTCTAAGGTTGACATCCACTATTCAAGTTTATCTTAATATCATCAGCAAGCAAACACCATTGTACATCTCTTGCAAATTTCTAGCAATAACATCCATGACTAGAGCAAAACGATATGGGCTTAAAACTAATCCTTGATGTAATCTAACTGAAATAGGAAAATATAATCACAAGTAACAATTCTTGCATGGATATCCTTAATGACTTGAATTTAAGCATTATTAATTTCTTTATTTTCTAGAGCTCACCAGAGTACTCTTGAAATTTTATCATATTCTTTTTCTAAATCAATAAATATCATATGTATATCCTCATTCTCTCTATATTTTTCCATCTAACCTCTCAATAAATGTATAGCTTCCATATTAGGCCTACCGGCATGAAAACCAAATTGATTTTGAGAAACATTAGTATCACATCATAACCTATACTCAACAACTCTCTGCCATAGTTTATGACACATTAACTTAATTTCTTTATGATTCATACACATTTGTGCATCAAGTTTATTCTTAAAAATAGGAATTAACACACTCCACTTATCTGACATCTTTTTAGTCCTCAAAATAATATTGAAAAGTTTCGGAAGCCAAGAAATTCTTTCATCTCTTAAGCATTTCCCCACCTCTATTGGAATATCATTAGGTCCATCAGCTTTTTCACACTTTATTTTCTTTAAAGCTTCTCTAACTTTGATTTTACTAATACACATATAAAAATAAAAATCTCTATTTCCATTTAAAGTGCCAAAGTTACTAAAGTCAATGGTATTCTCACAATCTTCATTGAACAATTTATCAAAATATCTCATCCGCCTTTGTTAAATATTATCTTCTAATAAAAGTACTTTTTGATAGTCATCCTATCCTATATGCACTTTACTTGAACTAAATCCTTACTTCACATATCTCTTTGTTTGGTTAGATTATACATGTATTTGTCTCTCTCCTTAGTATCTAACATATTATATAAATTATTAAAAATTATATCAAGGTACTAGCAATAAAATCATTTACATCAATGAGAGAAATAACCGAGGAAATGGCTATCTAGAGCAATGACTAACATGACTTGACATCCCATGCATCAAAATAAAATAATCAATTGACATCAAAAGGTAGCATCAAATTGACGCCCAAACGCACCCCAAGGAATTGTAGGACTTAGAGATTGGCATCATTAAATTCGGGGCAATACACGCAAGAAATCAAATAAAATCATAGTCATCTTAGAATAAAACCCAGCACATAGGTAGCATTCAAAAGAGCTAGATCAGTGAAGCTTAGATGAGGATGGGGTACTCTTCAGGACATTCAACAACAAATATATCATCCTTAGATTTCTCCTAAACCAATCTGAGGAATGGTGATTAAAAAGATTAGGTTCATCATTACAGTCAATATTATCTCAATTGACCGAAGTACATAAAAAATCACTATCAAAATTTCCCCCATGAACATTACTATGCGAGTGAAGCTACCAATGAGAAAATAAAGGATGTAGCTCTACGATGCACCGACACTTCTCCTCAAAGAGGCGTGCAGTGTACGACACGACACTCCTCCGACACGTGTCGGACACTCCAAAAACGTGCCGATTAAAAAATATTAAATGCAAATTGGACACGTGTGTCCGACACGCGTATCTTAAATATTTTATGAATTTTTTTAAATATAATTTCTTGTATTTTGCAGGATTTAAACTAAATTTCTTATTTCTTATCCAGAACACCAAATCAACGTCCGCACTTAATTTCCAATCATTGAATATTCTCATTTTCATTTCTTTTTGACAGTGAAGATATTTTCATCTCCTCTCTCGGTGAGTAATAAATGGCATTGACGCCTGACTCTCGAAGTCTAAAATATTAATTGTTGTTTTTTGAAACTTACCAAAAAAAAAGCTAATGTACATGCTCGGTACCGCTAGGTACATACTCGGTACCGCTCAGTATATGCTCGGTACTGCTAGGTACAAGCTCGGTGCCGCTAGGTACATGCTCGATACTGCTCAGTACATGCTCGGTACAGCTCGGTACATGCTCGGTATCTTTCCATACAAATAACTTACGAAGTTTAAAATCAAGCAGAACTTCAAGTATCATCCTCTTCTTGTTGTGAGAGAAATTGGAGTACATACTCATTTATTCAATCAATGAAGAGGAATAAAAATAACTCCACAATGAGTTGAAGATTTAATTTATGTGCATACAAATCTTTGTCTTCTATCAAGGAAAACCCCACTTCATATGACATATGGTAACAAGATGTGGGATGTTGCTAGAGATGGGTTCGAGTGCCTTGATGATATGAGATTATTGGAGGTTGCAAATCTTTTTCTAGATGAACCAGAGTTGGAAGCAATATTCAGTGATGATAATATTGAAGGCCAAAGATCAATCTCTAAATCTAATTCTATCATTCCCTCTATTGAGTAGTTGGACCTTCATGTTGTACTAAATAATTTTTTGCTTATATTTTTGTGGTTGTAGTAGAAAGTTTGTACTAAATATCTTTATGTTATAAGCTAAACAAGTTATCATGAAATTGATTTATTATTACTTGTCATTTTTAATATAATGTCATCTTAATTTCTATATACTATATTAAAAAATTATTATGCTGTGTCCACGCCGCACCCGTGTCCTATATTTTTAAAAAATGCCGTGTCCCGTGTCCGTGTCGTGTCGTGTCCGTGTCGATGTGTCTGTGTCGGTGCATCATAGATGTAGCTAGGAGGAAAAGATGGTGGTTCACCAATACCGCCAACAACAATAGCCTCCGATTGGGTTGGAAAAGTTGAAGGTGAAAGGGGATGATAGCACAAGGGTTTGTAGGATTACCGTTAAGACCACCCACAACAATTGGCGTGCCCCTATCTCAATCGCAATCAACTGAGAATTATAAATGAGATTATCTTGATTAGCTGTAATACTACTAACAACTATTTTATGTGAGACAATTGTTTTAATGATGTTTTGTAGAGGAGTGGTGTTTATCATCCAAGGGATTTGTTGAGGAGTGGTGTTGACCATCTAGGGGATTCATGTAAGGGAGGATTTTCTCCCACTAGAGTTACGAAGTATTGATGTCATCCTGGGGATGAAGTGGTTGCAAACCTTGGGGGAAACCAAGGACAATTGGGGAACAATCACGATGGAATTAAGGGTGGATGGGAGAAAGGTGGTTATAAGGGGAGATGCAGGGCAATCCAAAGCCATGGTATCACTTAAGACCATGGTTAGAAGCATACAAGAGGTAGGGGAAGATTTTCTGGTGGGACTACACCAGCTAGATGTCATCAAGATGAAGAAGGGATGGGATTTTTCTCTTTCAGTACTGCCCTTGATTCAACAATTTGGTAAGGTTTTTCAGCCACCTCGAGGATGGACACCTCCACGAGAACACGAGCATATCTCCACCTTGAGGACAAGGTGGATCTTTGGGAGGGGAGTATTGTTAGACCGGTCCATTGGACCGATCTAGCCTGTCCATGCGGGACAGGCCCAGGCGCAAACGAAGTGGGAATTCTCCGCCTCCTGCTACAGCCGCACGAGTCGCAAAGCCCACGAAGCTTTTTAGGAAAGATT